TTGGTTTTTTAAATTCTTTTTAGTGGGCTTCAAATTTTATTTTAAGCCTTTTAATTTATTTTCATGTCTCAAAAATTATTAATTTAACTTTTGATTCATATTTAGACCTTTAAATTTGTCAAATTGTGTTTTTAAAAGGATTTTGGTCCAATAAAAAACTAGCCAATTGAAAATTATTATTTATTTATTCCTTTTTTCTTATTTTCTTTTCTTTTTCTTATTTTGTTTATTATTTGTTAATAAATTTTGAAAATTAAATAAAAACAAAAAAAAATTTTAAAATTTTTAAAAATTTAGAATCGATTTGAAAATCAGGATCGAAAAGCGAAGAAAAATTTGCAAAAAGTCATATAAAAAAGAAAGATCGAAAAAATCATAATTTGAAAGACAGAATCAAGAAACAAAAAAAAAAAAAAAAAGGAATCGGATATTCTTGATATCAATCTCTTCTATTCAATGAAAAACCATAATATTTTGCTCTAAATCCTTATGCGTAACTGTGCAATTCAGTCACAGTGATGGACATCAATCATAATACACAATTAAAACACAACAAAGTTTTTGTTTTGTTTTTTTTTTTTGTTTTTTTGTTTTTTTGTTTTTTTTTTCTGGTAGTCGGACTCTTTGAGAGTTTTTGGGTTTTTATAGTAGATAGAATATATAAAGGAGAAAGGAAAATTTTTGGGTCGCTTTTCACGACGACTAGGGATGTTTTCAGATGGTGATAGATGCAACTTTTGAGTTTAGATTTATAAAAAATTGTAGTTTGCGGCTTATTATTAGAAATCAAAACACATAAAAATTCATATTTAGTCTCTTCCACCTCATATCTAAACATCATTTTTAGAGTTGAAAAAGCTAGTACGAATTCAAAAACTCTCTCATGTTGACTCGTGATGGAATCCATATTGATTCGAATTAATCACAAAAGATCAAAGATTGAAATCCAAAGAAATTCTAGCTCGAAAAATTTGAATTTGTACAAATTTAAATTAAAAAAACCCAAAACCAACACAATTTGACATTGTCATGACTCGTATCCGTAATTATTCATACCAAAAATCAATTAGATCTAAATCATGTAAAAACCAAATTATAACTCAAAAATCCCTAAATTATAATTATATTAATTTATTTTTAAAAATAAATAAATAAATGATAAACATTTTGCTTAGCTAAAATTTTTATATTTTAAAAATTTTATTATTTATAATTATTAAATAATTATATCAATAATATATTATCAATAAAATTAATATTGAATCTTTAAATTCAATTATAAAAAAAAATAAGAATTTGAAACACTTTGACTATAAATATCCAATGTTATTATGTTAATGTCGATTGGTGTATATGAGTTTGTTTTTTTTATTAATTCAACATTATAATAGAACATTTAATCAATTAGGTAGTGTTTGATATATGTGGGATGATCACTTAAAAAGCCATAGTGATTAGATCACTATATTTGATAAGCATTTTGTGATCCTATATGTCAGTAATTTTAGATTATCGAAAGTAATCAGATCACTGTCAGGGAGAGTGATTTAATTTTTATGCAAAACTAAGATGAAATTTTATGTAAAATTAACAATAATGAATTTTATCCATTTAATATGTGAGTTAAAAATTTACATCTTAAAATTATAATTATTTTATATTATAAATTTTTATATTTTCAAATTAAAATTCATTACAACAAGTTCAAAATAATTTGCGCATTTTTTTACTTTTATTAATATTTTATATATAATATAATTTTTTTAATTTCTTTTATTATGAATTTAATACATTGGTTTTATTTTTTAATTCAAATATTCTTTTACAATTTATATTATAAAAATAAATTTACCTATCAATAAATATATTTATTAATTTAATAATTTTATTATATTTTATTATAAAATAAATAAATGTTACTAATATTTTACAAATTATTATATTTAAACAATCGTAAAATTGTTAATTTACATAATTATTACAACATATATGGTTATTGTCATACTTTTAAACAAAAATAAATTTTAATTTTTAGTAATACTAAATATAATAATTTTTAATCTTTAAGAATTAATCATTGTTAATTAAACAAAAAATTTCAAATCACAAATATTATTATCACTTTAATAATAAAATTACTCCAATAATTACATTATCATGTTAATTTTACAAAAGATACCAAATATGACCTTAGTGTATACAATTATATTTAATGTAGTAGTATTAATATTATGGCTCATGTACAAATCAAAAATAAAATAGATATATGGTTGAGCTAATTAATTGATCAATTATATATATTAAATATTTTTGTGAATAATAATTGATATTCTTTTTAATAATTATCTAACATTTGGAATTATAATTGGATATTTGATAATTGGTGAATATAATTATATCTAATGTTAATATAAATATTTTTAAATATTAAAATTAGATAAATACTTTATCAATTAGTTTTTACACATAATGGTTTTTAAAATTTCTAAATATTATTTAATAAGATTAAACCAATTAATTAATTAATACTATTTTAATATCTAGTATTCAATATTCTAATGATCATTTAGTCAATCAGTAGATACGATCAAATATAATATAATTATATTGATGTTTAATTTATATCCAATCAAAAAGCAAAATATAATTGAAAAAATCTTGAAAATTTAAAATACCTATTAAAAAATTATAATATAATGAGTAGAAAAGCTAATAATAGGGGAGAGCATTCATTGATTTAAACCAAACAAACCAATAAAAACGATTTTACATTTAAGTAAATTGGTTTTAAATTTTTTGGTTTAGATGGTTTAATCGATTTAATCAGTTGATTTACGGTTTTAAATCTTATAAACAGAAACGACAAACAACATATTTACCCTTACAGCATACCCTAATTCACGCCTCTGTCTTTCTCTCCAGCCTCTCGAACCTATCTTTCCCTTTAAAATCTAAAATCCTAAAATCTAAAACTCATTTCCTCTATTTCAGGCATTCTCCCTCACGCCTGTCTCTTTTCTGCAACGCCACTTGAGCTCCACGCCTCCACCATACTAGAAGCCACCTCTCACAATCACACCAAAAGCTGCCAATGATGCCTGAAGCCAACACATGATGGTCAGTTCAAACGCCCTTTCGTCCTTTCCCCTCCCCTTTTGCCAAGCGGCCCAACTAGCCTTCCACCACACAAGCTCTACGCCTTCAATTTGTTTTCTTCATCTCTCTCACATCTCTCTCTTTTTGAAGCTTTCCCATTTCCCTTCTTTTTCTTTTCCTCTCTCTCTGTTTCTCTTACCATTCAAGGTATTACCTGAAGTACCATTACCTTTGCTGCTACTACTAAAGAATAAACTGGGTTTTGAACTTGTTTGATGGCTAGGTAGCTGAAATTTTCATTCTTCTAAAGGCTTTTGAAATTGGGTTTTTTGGATGGAGATATAGTTTTTTGGATTTTCAATGAATTTTGTTTTTCATTGGATGGGAATTGGAGTTTTTGTTAGTTCAAGTTTAGCAATTTTAGTGAGTTGTTCTTTTTTTAGCATTTGAATTGATGTTATATTGAAAATTTTAATGTCGGCAGGAAGTAAGATATAGAATTGTGGGTTCAAGAAGCAACTTTTTTTCAGTCTTTTCATTAAGAATACTCTGTTTGGTAGCTTGACAAGTGGAGGAAATGAAAAGGAACTGATGTTTTCATTATTTCAATCATTACCAATCCCAGTATGAACTAAAAACCGGCTTTTCTAAATTTTCCACTCTCGTTTTACTGAATTAGGTTTTCATTTTGTCTTACCAATTAAGAAAAAGGAAATCATATTTCTCAAAAGTTGATTCCTTCTTCCTTATATTTTCTTGAGGCAAACAGAGTAACGTGAAAAATATAAAATGAAAATGATTATTGATGGATTTGCACACTGAAAAAAACAACTAAATCGACCGATTTAAATTGATTCGGTTTATATTGATTTTTAATCTTTTGATCGATCAATTCGGTTTTTATATAAATTAAATCGATTAAATCAATTTTAAAATTTTTATAAATGAATTAATTGAATTAACCGATTGCTTTGCCTAACTAATAAAACAAAAGTGAAAATTATAAAATTAAAATTAAATTTTGTTGAATTAAGTCACTAGGGCTGTCTCCGATGGTCCAATACTTAAAAAATAAAAAAAAAAACCATTAAGATAAATATTTAATGGGTTCTATTTGTAACTTGTCGAATCATTAAAATAAATTTTTTTATATAGCCCAATGCTTTGGATTTTTTTATTTTTATATTGAATTTATATATTTTTTTAATTTTTATTTGAACTTATAATACAGACCAAACATTAATAGAATATTCAAATAGAAAATTATTATATAATGTATATTTATAAATATTTATTAGTTTTTTAAACTTTTAACTTTAATATTTTTCATAAAAACAAAATTAATTATTATATTCAAAATTAAATAATAGTTTATTACTTATAACATTTCAAAATTATTTAAACCTATCCACACCTATCCAACTTAAATTGAATTAAATCCGAAATAAACCAAACCCGAAATAACTCGTTCAAGATGATCGAATCCCGAAAATATCCAAACCTGAAATGAACCCTAATCCAAATGATCCAAGATCAAAAACAATCCATCCAAGACCGAAGACAATCCAATCCAAACACGCCAGAACCCGTCCGTCGGTTGTCAATTTTTTTACTGCCTCACTGAATCTCAAGTAAATGTACGACACGCACGTATCATACCATCATACCTCGTAAAAAATGCAGACAACCATCCAAAGATTAGAAGGCAAATGAGTACTCATTGATTGTATATAACTAGAAGGATGAGAACAACAATCCAGAACCTAGCTATAAACATGCATAATGAAAGGGGGAAACGAATACTTGTCCCTTGACACTCTTTGCATCTACAATTAGCATTTACCTCCCTCCCCATGGTTAGAATAATGTCACGTATAGAGGTTTCAACTTTCTCTGTACATAAACCATCTTTAAGCAGTTAAGGGGCACCCAACACCTCAGCGAAGTATAGTCCATATCTAGCTTATGGTGTGATGCACGAGACGCACTTGATCGCTTGAAGAAGGAAAAAAGCAATGTTATTTAAGATAATGACTTTGTACTACTTGATCGCTTGATGTAGAATGACATTAGATCCCAAATGCACAACAAACTGCTCATTTATATGCCACGACAGCAAGTTGATTTTCTTAGCAAAGATGATTGTTCAGAAACACTATAACCATAATTCAGCGCCAGTCTTAATACTCAATCTATTCTTGAGCAGAACTGACGTTTTTGGTATCAGCGTTCTTATTAGCCTTCATCTTGCCCTTAACAGGAGTTCTGTCATCTCCAGGAACTTCAGCAGTGAGCCTTCCCATTTTCTTCCGCAGATCAGCAAGTGAATCTTTTGTAACTTTCACTTTGGGACTCTTCTTTTCATTGGCAAGCTTGAGCTCCAGTCTATATAAAGCAAAAGTATCACAACCATAGATCTCATATTCAAACAAGTGCCACTCATATTTGCCAGAAGGTTGTGGGTCCATGTAATATGACCTCTTCTGTCCCCCAAATTCCTTCATAACCTGCTTCCTTGATTCATGCCAACCACGTCCAGAGTAATCTGGTAAAGACCTCTGCTTTCTGTTTCCACTCTCAAATGCCCTCCTAGGTTTATCAAAGAAAAGCCACTCCCTGATTATTTCACCCTCGAGTAAAGAAAGATCAAATAACTCTGCAATACAAGACATTTGCTTGGTTATAGGACAGAGAATGAGAAGGACAAAAGACAGTAAGGTTTTTATCATCCAGGTCATATATGAATGCCAGAATTCCCAAAAACAAAAGAAAGCAGGGGAGAAAACCAGACACTATATTTCACATATGAAGCTGAAACACATCATACCACAAAATTTAATATAGCTCCAAGACAACAAAGAACATTAAAAAAAAAAAGACAAAAGCATGATAGCTTACCTGTAGCATTCCAAGGAGATTTCATGGTAGCAGCACCCTCACATTGAGGGATGCCAACATTCTTACCCAGCATCTTTGCTCGAACTGCATCTAGTAGTAAATTATCCTTTAAACTGATTCCACCAGGGCGTAGAATTGGAATTGTGCCAGGGGGGTCTTCATTTAGAGCTAGAGTAGCATGAAAACTGCTACAGTAGTCCTGGTACCAGTCAGATCCTTGAGCAGGCCTTGTACAATCCCAAAGAGCACACTTTGGCCCCATGAAAGCAGATGGTGGAGAGATATTTGGCAGTATGTTGAGGCTAGCATCCTTCACAAAATCTTCAGTGCCATTGGCACCAATGAGAAGCCCATGGCCAAATTCTTGCCGTATGTCAAATGGATGATAATCCAATTGATAATTTATGTCAGCATTACCAACCATTGTGGTCTCCAAAGCTGGGGTAGAAATTTTACATAAATCAATCCCTTGAAAACCATGTTCTTGTGGCTCATGATTCACTAAATAGTCCTGAGAAAGAAAATGTTTTCTATTCATCAGCTACTTCACGCAAACTTCACGTGAAAGATAAGCAACAAACCACAGGAAACTCACAAAAACCAACCAAACATGGACAGAAAAGAAAAAATTGTGATGCTGAGGTTCAAATCAATAAAACGCCATGCAGCATGTTCATCTCATTTCTAAATTATACTTGGACCATTAAATCAATGAATCAGTCAAAGAAATCTACACATCTGCATACTCTGCCTCTAAATTTCTGATTGAGAAGTGCTATACATGATGAACAAGTTATGAAACAGAAACACAATGAACAATTTACTTAAGTTGTGTCAAATATCCAGAAATCAAAGCCAGAAAGTGTGCTTAACTAAGCCATTGTCGCCAAATTTAATTTTAACAGAATACGGTTATTATTAAGAGAAAGAAAAATCAACATATAAGAGCTTAAATCTTTAACGCCAAAAAGAATATACATGTGTATATATATATATATATATATCTTTAAAGATAAAAAATTGTTTCCTTAATTTGATGCACTTTGCACATAAAAAGTAAAAATGGTCTGAGCAAGGTAATTAAGGAAGATGCATACCGATCAAATTCAATGGGAACAGGTTTATCAAAGAAAACTAAACTTTTGGCACTTAAGAGTTTCCAATGTTCCACTAGAGAAGGATAGCTCCACCTACCTTTGCTTAATAAAGAAATATATTAATTAAAACCAAACATAAAATACTTAATGCAGAATTTAATTTCCTTTATTTTCACGGTAATAATGTTATAGTAAGAAGTTTTGCTTTTTTAAAAAGCTAAAACAAAAGAATGAATCTCTTTCTCCATATTAACATCACACTCAGAGATAAAGGTCTCACCTCAGGAATTACAGGCAAATTACTGGGATTAGGGCTTTGAACATCAGTCTCAGGCTTCTGCATTGCTTGTCCCTTTAATGGACTAGTGGCATCATCTTCCTCCTCATATAGTTGCAACAACCGGTTTATATCATCTGAGAATGATCCAAGACTATCACCCTACAAAGAGGTTCATCAAAAATCACTTCATTTTTAGGAAACAGAATTTACCGCTGTTTTAATTACAGGAAACTATAGATTGATGCACAAAGTTTAAGTTAGTGTTGATAAAATATACAGATACAAACCAATAAAGAAGAGGTCGGGGATGGTGTGCAGAGCTCAGCTTTCCACTCACGAAGGTTCTGATAAACTTGCTCCTCTAACACTGCAACATCACCAGCTCGACCTTCCTTCCTAGCGGCTTGAAGATCAGTGAACCGTTCTTGGAGATAATTGAGCCGGTTCTTGGTATTGTCCACCATCAGCTGGTGGGATGCAGATGTACATTTGTTCTTTGAATTATTCTGCATTGCCTCTATAACCAAACCCTATTTAAACCAAAATGGATGAATTTAGAAAACCTAAAATATCTAAGAATTGCAACCCTTAAATCACCACGCACACACACACAGATATATATATATATATATAAACAAAACAATGATAAAACTGCGAACAATCGTATAAAACGATGGTTACTAAAAACTCTTTACCGCAGTGATCCCAAAATCACCTATTTTCCAACCTTTCAATTCTTTAAAAAAACAAAAAAACCCTAAAATACCAGAAAAAGTAATTTCCCAAAATTGAATACGAAAACCCCCCAAAATGATGGAAGCGGAAAAAAAAAACTAAATTTTCAAGTTAAAGGGATGAGATAAAGAAAAGAAAGAAAAACTGGGTAACGCATTTGATCTGTCAAATGCTTTCCCAAAATTACAACTTTGGAGAAAAAAAAAAAAGGAACAAAAGTAGAAAAAAGAAAAGAGAGAAGAAAACAAATAATTTACCTAGAGAGACTGAAGAGATTTGTTTGGTTCGAACTTGGAAGGATTAAAAGGAATAAAATTACATGAAAAAGGGAAGAAGAGTGAAGGACCAGCGCAGACTCCAGACAAGTAGAGGCAGCCCCGGCAAAATGAGAAAAGACTGGGCGACTGTTTATATTTACCTACTTGAGAACCACTCCAACTTTTTCTTCTATATGAAAACAGCTTGTCAACACCACTTCTCTTTTTTTTCGTCGAGCAATGGCTTGTCGTTTTCCTTTATAGGCACTTATCCCTGTAATCTAAAAAAAAATTTGTTTAAACTAAATATTAGACTGGGCTCGGTCGGATGGATTATTTTTCAACATATTTTTTTTATTGTTTTTAATATATTATAATTATTTAATAAAAAATAAAAAAAATTAATTCACACATCAAATATTAAAATTATAAAAATATTTAAATTTAATATTTCATATACTGTAGTAACAATTTCATTATCATTTTTTCCTGTTATGTTACAAGGCATTATTTGTAATTAATTATATGATTAAATGTATGATTTGAAATTTAATAGTTAAAATAATAAAAAAATCTTTTAACTTTATTATTTTATTTAAATAAACTTTTATATTTTTGGTATATGCTAATAAGTTTTTAAATTTTAATTTAAATACAAATAAATCTTTAACGTTTAATTTGTATCTAAATAAATTTTTAATCTTTATTCTATACTTAAATAAGCTTTTAATATAAATTAATCTTTTATTTAAAACAAAATTTTATTTAAATATAAATTAAAAAATAAAAAATTTTTAAAATATAAAAAAATATAAAAATTTATTTTAAAAAATAAAATAGATCAGAAACTTTTTTAGTATTTTAGCCAAATTTAATGTAAATTATCAATTTCATTTTTGTAAAAATGTCTAAAACAAAAGAAAGGAAAATAAGTTAAATATAATAATTACAAATTTTGATGAAATGGTTTTATTTAGTTTTTGTTTTTATATCTTTTATATTTGATTGTGATGCTTTAAGATTTTAATTTTATTTAATTATAAATAATAATAAATAAAAACTTTTCTATTTTAATCTTTTAGATGTTCATAACCATAAATGGGTGGGGCCAAATTTAAATTGAGTTTGAATATGATATCAACACTTTAAATATTTATTGAAATTCGGACAAATACGATAATTCAGACCTCAAATTCTATTTAAATTTGTTTAAATTAATAAATGATTTCAATTGAATTTTTTTAAAAAAAGTACAAGGCTGTTATTTAATATATTATTTTTTTTTTTTTTTTATTAAGCTTAGAAACATATATAACTTAACATATTTTCTAATATTTTAACAATAATATTATATATACTTATCTTTTATATAATATTTCTTTATACATTTGAAGAGGCTATAAAAAAAAAAAAAGAAATGCAGCCGCAGCAGGATGTTGTATTGTCAAAACAATATGAGAAAAGACTCGTCTTCATTTATAGAATGATCTACATAAATTTGCCAAAGTACATCCGCAATACTTTGATGATCACTTATATTTTGCCAACTGAAATCAAAAGCTGGGAGAAGTTAAGAGTAATAAGAGAAGAAGGGAGGGGACAGAGCAGGGTGGACGGCAAATGGTAAAGGAAAAGGAGAGGGCAAAGTTGTGGACTGGATTGAAATATTGTAACTTTCGCAAGGCATGGCAAAGTTATTTTACAATATTTTGCAAAGAATTTTGGCTGCAATAAAATACGATGGATTCACGGCAATGTCATTGTAGTGTTTTCTTGATATCAAACACTGCAATGTGTTTTTCACCTAATTAAATTTCCAAGGAATGTGGAGTGCTTACCTAATATCAAACGTAACCTTGGCGTGGCAAATATGTAAAAAATGAGTCGCAGCAACATTTTTGTTGATGGGAATCAAATAATGGAAATAGTAATTATAAGTAAAGTAGTAATCAAATACATTTTGAGGGTTGCTTTTTGCATCCCAACATTAACTTAACACATCTTATTATTTTTAATACTTCATTTTTTACTCATTATATTCCACACTCAAAATTAAAATTTACCAAAATATTTAAACATCTTGTCTCTTCTCCCTCAGACCTCATTTTCTCTCTTTTTCTTTCTAACCATAAACCCTAAAAATTTAAAGCTAAATTCAAAGGAAAATTTATCAATTTGAAGTTGAAAAGCTTATAATTAGAGATAAATTATTTATTTTTTATATTTTTTCATTTTATTTCGTGTTTCAGTGCTATTCAAAGTTTCCAAAATGAAATATAAATTTTTTAAAATAAACTTTTAAATATTTTTAAAAGTTTTCGGACATAATTTTTAAAAATCAACTTACCTTATGATCATCTCTAAATCTTCATTACTACAATTGTTTCTCTTCAATTTTTTTTTTTCATTTCTGGTAATATACATGATATTATAAATTTTAACAACAATATAATCTGTTACTCGGAAAAAAAAAAAAAAAAAAAGAAACTACTACTTGCCTAAAATGAAAGGAAGATAAGAGAAGAAGAAGAAGAGGTGTGAAGAATAAAAAAATAATTGATTGATGAATATTTACGTAATTTTATTAAAAATTAAATTTATAATAAAATTTTTTATATGTATCGAATAATTCTTATGATGCAAATAGACAATCCATTGGTTCATACATAAAACATGAGTTAGACATAATTAAGTGAAACACGTGTTAAAGAGTGAAGTAAAATATGAATCCAATTAACCATTTTTTCTTTTTCTTTTTTTAATAAAAATATCATCTATTAAAACACTTAAAATAATTATTTTGTTGGCTACTGGAATGATAAACTTTTTTTAAGAAAGCGCGATAATAAACCGCTTAAGCAACGAAAGTGTTGGCTTTATAATGCCCACAATATCTTCTTGCAAATAAACTTTTTAATATATTTAATGATTTGAAAATAAATGTTAATTATTAAATCAATTAAAATTTTGAATGATAAATTTTACTAAAATATTGAATAAGGATTTTAGATAATTTTATTATAAAAATCTATAAAAAAAATTTTGAAAGAATTAATATCATAAATGATTTCTAAATTATAATAAAATATTTAATATACATTTAAATTTTAAAATTTTTAATATAATATTTATATAATAAATTAAATAAACTAATCTGATAATATTTAAATAATTATTTATTTATCATATATTATTATTTAAAATTAATTATATCATAAATAATTATCACATTAATTAACATATTTTTAATTCATATATCACATTAAAAATTTTTTTAATTTAAATATCTATTAAATATTTTACTATAATTTAAAAACCATTCATGATATTAATTCAATTTAAAATAATGAAATATAAATGAAATATATTTACTTCACTTATTTCTCAATATATAAGACAAGTTTTTATTAAGCAATACATAAATTATATTGAAGCCCTAAATAGAAATTAAAATAGTCGAAATTGATTCATGCATTGCATTATCGCAAGCTAGATTATTACAATAATAAACCGTTCAAAGACGGTTTCAAAGACAGTTGGTTTCGGGGTAAAGAGTGGATACCCAAGAGTAGACCTTCTAGTTAACAGAAATTGGTAGGTTAACTTCCTATTAGTGCTGAACCGAAGACCAAGAGTTTGCATCAATCCAGTTGAAAGCTATGGGGCTCAGAAAAGCATCAGGAATGCCAAAGGAACTCACTAAAGCCAGCGCATGTGGTCGAAGTTCACTGCAGATTTTTGTTATTTCTCTCCTCACAGTAGCAGCGTTGTCCATTGATAGGTACCCATATCGGAGAAATGCAACATCTTCGAGACAAATTAAGGCATACAACGATCTCAACATACCTAGAACATCCTGTAGAAGAAAAACGTATAGACTCAACAACCTGGCTAATGCACAAAATGCTGCACGTATTTTCTCAAAACCTGAACCATGCTTTCAAGGTTTCAATTGACAAACATGAAAAGTTTCTCAGATACTGATCAATTCCTTTTGCAAATCCGGAAAATTTTACCCATCTGCAAATCCTATATATGATATCAATTTGTTCCATTTACCTTCATTTTTGGTCATATTCATCCCACCATATTCTGTAACTATGCAGTCACGGGCAGCTTCAAAAACCTAGAAATGGTAATTTGGCCAGCGCAGGTGAGGTTTGCCTTGTTTCAGGTTTGGGTTAAACCAGGTTTGGATCAATTAACTTGTCAAGCCAATTCAGGTTGGGTGAGTCAAATTGTTCATTCAGATAAGATCCAGCAACTTTTACAATACTAAAGACAACAAAAAGGTTCTAGTAGGTTTAAGTTAGATCATTTCAAGCTCAATCCATTGACTTCAATTTTGTTAGGACAGGTAGGGCTTTGAAAGGGCTGGCCAAGACATTCTAATCAGGCTCACTTTCATCAATTCTAGATTAGACCTAATATCAAGTGGATGCTACTGCTAGATGCTCATATGAGAAATATTAACTAAAATTCACCTTCAATGAACCAGCAGCTAGAGTTGCTTCTGCCTCAACAAATGTTTGAAATATTGATCGTTCTGAGAAAGCTTTGCCCAAGTCCTCTGCTAGCTGATAACTCTGAAGTTGAACAGTGATCCGACAATCAGACTAAAAGGTCGAGAAAAGGATAGCAATTTAGATAAACAAGTGCTTCCTCACCATAAGGAAGGCGTGCTTGGCTTGACATTGTGAGACATCCGCAACAAATCGATTCAAAAGATCTCTCTCCCTTAAACGCAGGGCATCCATCTAGACATATGATGGTGGTCAGAGATACCCCCAGATTTTAACATGGACTATTAAGAATAGCACAACTGATGCTAATGTTATATTACCTGGAATTGGCTGCATCTGAGGGTAGTGCTAGTAAGCTGTGATGGAATCAAGGGGCAGGGTTTGTTCATGTGTTCTAAACCCAGACCCTTGAAAACCTTGTTTCTCTTCTGAGCTGCTACATATTCAGCAAGAAGAGCCTTGCTGACCTGAGTTAACATGTTTAATCCATAAGTTTCACTATTTCAAACAGAGTTCTCAAGTAACAAATATAGAGTACAATTCTATTTTAATATTTATAATAAATATAAGCCACCAAAGTAAGCAATAAACTGTCAAGTTTGACCTCAGCAGATAACATGATGAAATTACGGTGGGCTGATCCTTAGGAGGTTATGAACACAAACCTTGATTTTTTTTTTCTTTATAAAATCCAATAAAAACCTGAAACACATACACAGGACTCATTTCCCATTTCTGCATGTCAATGTTTTCCATTTACTTTGAGTTCATATTCTCAGACAATTTACTTGTAAGTTGTAACCACTTGCCCTTGTCAAAGAAAATTTGTCAGGAACAAGAAAAATATATCTACCTGCTGCATCAAAATATTATTGTCCCCCTCAAAAGTGGATTGCACATCATATTCACCTTTCAAATGGCCAATACGGTTCTCAGTCTTTAGTCCCTGTCCTCCACAAGCTTCACGACATTCCTGAAGCATTCAACAATTGAACCTCTGTAATGACAGTTACAGTTAATATATTCAACTTAATCCACAATATTTTGTTGCGCACCTGCAGTATTTGCATGTTATTCCAAGTAAAAGTAGCTTTGAATGAACTTGAAACTACATGAATGGTTTTATTTGACTGAGATTTTCTCCTCACAAACAACAATTTCAAGTAATTTCCTGCAAAACTCATAGCATAGCTGCAGCATATAAAAACAAATAAATAAAGGAGCCTTTATCAAAAGCAGCAGCTCTATCTAAATTATCACTGGTTCCATCACAATCCAAGTAATTGCAGTATGTGTCCACTTTAGTACCAACATAAAAGTCCAATACCAAACCTCACAAGCTAGAACTTTGAATAAATTGACGATTAAAATAAATGCTAAGTTCTTATAATTGAGTTAGTTGACACACCAAATACAAGGACAAGGTGTTTGCATCCAGGATCTAATGTTGTGATGTTAATAAATATGCCAACAAGAAAAGATGCTTATTCAAGCACAAAAGGTCAGCACCCTATAGCATCATATTAAAAATATTTATTTAGCAGCAAAATAAATAACCTTTTCTTAATTTAAAGAAATAAAAAAAATAAATGCAATCACTCTCAGCGACTCCCACAGGTCCTCAAATGCTGATAAAACATACATTTTTTCTGCATATGCACAGAAAATAATGACTTATCTACCAAGCCAGTGAACAAAAATCTTTATGGTGAGTCATGCGACAAGCATTGTAATTGGAAGTTGTAAAACACAAACTGAACTCCATAAGAGCTTCTGTTGAATATATATTTCATAAGATAAACTGTAGATATACTTACGTCTTCGCAAGGAGAGGCAAGAGTCGTCGTTGATGACTTGGGTAATCAAGCAATAAGACCTCAGGTTCATTTGGTTTGAGAGAAAATGCCCGCCTTGTTAGCGCATACCTAATGGCAATAGCTAAACCAACCTAAAACGGAGAGCAATGATATGATATCAGTGACCTTTCCATTTGGTATTAGTGGCCTGCCACCCCACAGCCCAAATTTTAAAAATATGCAAAGCTCATCTGCCAATAAAAAAGGACAAGATGCTTTAAAAAAAATATCGAGATACCTTTGATTGGTAAACTGCAATAAGTGCAATATTAACACGACCTGCTGTGAGAGGGGCCAGGAATGCACCAAATCTCTGAATTAAAGCAGCAGACATGTAAGAGCCACCAATACATCATTACCAGCTAACAAGGATCCTGTTGTGGTACAATACACAGCTTTAGAAGCAGAAACCAGTCATCTCAAATAGGAGTACCTGATCTGGATCATTTATTGAACTTAGATATATTCCATCAGGTGAAACGTCAGCAACTGAATTTAACAAGTTCTCTCTGGGCACTCGAACATTGTCAAACCTGAAATCACATACGCAAACCTTTTAGATTAGAATTTTTCTAAGGAAACAAAAAGATTGATGAATTCAAGTTAAACTATATGTTTAGAATTACCAGATTCGACCGTTATCAACACCATTTAAACCAATTTTATGACCACAGTCAGCAATGCGAATGTTTGGACATACGTTACCATCAGCATCCCTGATTTGCGCTATAAAGGCATGAACCCCTTGATTGGTTCCATTGATATTCAGCTGTGAAAACACAATTGTGTGTGTTGCATGCTAGACAGAAAAGCAGCAGTAGAAGCATACCATGTCAGCATATAAGAAAAACTGAGGAAATGATCATAAAAACAGCTAAATGAAAATTTCACATGTGCAAAGGAATCTGAAAAGACAGTGCAGGGAGAGAAATGGCATTTGGTTCTAAGACAAGCTTACCTTGGCTGCCCCACCAATCCAATACTTCTGAGCTGATTCACAAGGAGTATTAATGACAAACTCCCCTGTGTTTGAATCATATGTTGTTACTGTTTCAACGCCACGAACCTAAAATTAATGATGCCAGAATAAATCAGGAAAAAAGTAGAAGACAGCATAAAAAATCACAAAAGGCTTGATTCCAGTTACTAAAGGATTTGACAACCGTTACATACATTACTTCCATGCCCCAACTCAGTCATTGCAAAGCAACCCTTGAAAAATAAATTCTCAGTGTCCCTCAGCCACTTGTCATGGTGGTGCTTTGTACCCAAAAACTGGATGGCACCACCCCTGCAAACATTTATGATAACAGCAGCACTAAGGTTCAAATTTCTTTTCTGCTACTTCAACCTTGTTGACTAAATTTTAACCTTAAACTTAAGTGAAGCGTAAGGAAGGTAACAAACAGCCCTTGGTTCCATTAAATTTCAAATTTCAATATGCTAAGACTTTGTTGGATTGTTACTTTTGACACTTATAAGTTATATCTCTTAGAGCAAAGTTGGAGAGCTGGTAAAGAAAATATACCAAATCATATTTGATTAAAATTTATAAAAAAAAAAAAAAGATAAAATGCAACAATACATTCAAATAAAATTATTCGGTAAAAAATTAGATACATTTTGTTACTAAAAAAAATCAAAATGATACTTTTATTTTTTACTTTTTTCCATTCAATTTTTTGTTATTTATTATTTTTATTTTTCACTTTTCAATTTTTATTAAAAAATGTAAATAATAAAGGCACGGTTATCAGCCGCTTACCAAACAAAGCAAGTAGTTTTTATGTATCCAATAAATCTAATTTTTAGATGCAAATGCAAAAGTAAGTAAAAAAAAAAAAAATCAAAAGAAGCATGCAACTCCACAGAGTTGCATTCCATTGTATGTAAAGCAAATAAAACAACAGGACAAAATTCCAACCCTTCAAAAAAAAAAAAAAGGGTAGATAACGCACCACAAGAAGAACTGAACTCCGAGCTTAATCGCGATGGAATGATCAAAGATACACAGAACCTCAAAGCAAGCGAACCTCCTCATCTCAACCTCTTCTTCTTTCTCAGTTAACCATCCTTTGAACACTCCTCTCTCCAGTAAATACATGATGCGCTTCCACGTCATCTCCCGCTGCTGCTCCATCGACTGATTATAGTCGGCCGACATAAACACCCTCCCTCCCCTCACTCTCGGGTTGAACAACTTGCTCTGCCTCATCAACCCGAACAGCCAATCCCGTTCCTCCACGTGGTGGCCGTCGATTAGCTTCCGCATCTCCTTGATGTCAAATGCGTAATTTTCGGAAAGTTCCGGGGGAGAGTAGTTTAAACAGGCGTTTGAACAGAGAGAAGGGGTTTGGGCGGGCGGCGAAGGACGGGATTGGAATAGGTGATTGGCTAGGATTTTGGTTCTTTGAAAAGCTCGATCCATTGGAGAATTAGAGTCTTCTTTTCTTTTTTTTTTTCTTCTTTAGGATTTACAGAGAAATTCTAGGAGATGAATAGATTAGTTGATCCAGGAAAAACTTGGAGAAAAAGATGGGTGTTTATGTTTAATTACGCGCGAGTGTTTTTGTAGATTACGCACTCGCGATTTGATTGGATGCAAGAACGGGTTTGACTGATAAATCGAACTAATCATCTTGGTTTGGTAAAAAAACGTGATCAACCACTCATAAAAAATTTAGATTTAGACTTAAATTTTTTTTTTATAGAAATCTGTAATAAAAAAATAATAAAAAAAAACTAAAAAGTTATTGTTGAACTAATTTAGCAGAATAACAAGTCAACTAATGGATCAGAATTATTATTCCTTTGTACCATCAAAAAGTAATTATTATAAAGGAAATAAAATTTTTAAAATTGTTAAGGAGGAAACTTGAAGTACCATTTTTATTTTTGATTTTTTAAGTTGAATTTTCAATTTCACCAGCCTTAACAGAAAACAAAAAGTAAAGGAGAGAGAAAGAGAGGCTAGCATCCTCGTCGACTGAAGCTGCAAAAAACCTTATAAAACATCAGATCCAACATGTTAAGGTCGAATCCTACCATCAAAAAGCAAGATTCGACCTTGAAATGGTCGGATCTGCCCATAGTTTCAAACCAAATCCAATCATCGACGGTTAGGAACAGGCGATGAACGAGTTGTATCTCAAAGCTTCAAACTTGGTGAACGGGGTCAAGTAATGCTTACTGTTGTCAGCACAACTTAAAAAAGAAGCTTCTCTACAGGTTTAAGGTTAAACTCTTCTGCGACTGAGGAATTATTCTGACTATAAAACTTGAATATGAAAATTTAATTTATTCTTCTCTAATATTTGGGCAATTTATTTTTCCTTTTTTTTTTGGTATCTTTTTGAGGAGCATTGTTGATGACAAGTTCCTTTGGTTTTGAATTTTGTTTTTCACCCCTGGGATTTTGAATAAAAAAGAAAATCCTCTTGGTTCTCTCTCTTTAGTTAAGACTGACTGAAAAATGAAAATTCAACTGAAAGTCAAGGGTAAAACTGGTACTGTACTTTCTTTTTTAACAATTTTAAAAATTTATTTCTTTTTTAATAAAAAAAATTATGATGTGGAAGCGAAAGATAATAACTCTGATCCATTGCCCTGATTTACAATTCTTTCAACTAATTTTCTCCCCATTATCATGGCAATTAATTTTTAACATAAATTAACAAATACTTGACTTTCTTGACAGATGCTTGATTGAAGGGTATTTTAGTAAAATCGATCAGACGACTTGCGACCTTTAAAAATTATCAAGTCAAAAAATTCTTTTAAAGCTGTTCAAGATGGTTAACGAAAAAAAAAATAGCAATTAAAAATGTTAAGAATCAACATAGAATCATCATAAAGACAATTCCAACAAAATTGAAGTTAATTAAGATTGAGTAAAGAAAAGTTTTATTGATTGAAACTTTGAATATAGGGAAATTGCATGAACTCAACGCTAATATACTTGAAAACAATTGATGATTGATCAAATGCTAGATGAACTTACAATAATCACCAAATAAAGCACTTTTGCGGTTGAAAACTGAATCCACTACAATGACCTGCTTACGGGGAGCTTGAAATGCAAAGAAAGCTCAAGGAAATTAGGAAAATGGTAGAAACTGAAGTTGTTGGAGTGCGTTGTTTGTGACCTTCACTGTATGGCAGCTGTCTCTACTTACAGAGCTTTTCCAATGGTCATCTCCTACGTTTTAGGAACCAATTAGGTTGAAATTTGGCTCAAGCAACAGCTCTACCGGCAAATTAGAAGTCTGTTCCACAAAATGAGCAACCGATCCCACTGTCTCCTCCTCTTATGCTAATTTTAGGTAGTTTGGTTGCTGACCAATTTTCCTTAACCGCTGTTGTCGCCGGTGCCTCATTATTCTGCCAACTAGGCTGAGTTGGCTGTTTCGCCCAATTTTCATGCCCTGTGACCACATATCTTTCCCAAAAAAATGCCATGTCATATGCCAATGGACAAATAGCTTCTAATAGCCGATGAATCTAATTATGCCATATGTCAATCTTTGGTTGGCTGACGAGATTCCAAGTCATTTTTCCTTTCTAGGTCAGACTCTTACTTGCCACATGTAAATCATGTATTGGTCGTGCCAATAGATTAAAAAGTATAGGTTAGTTAATATACGCCCTCTACAATAAGGAAATATATAGAATCACCATCATTTACGTATGGCTATATATATCTAAATATGTATTATGTCAAAAAAATATTATTGATAAATAAGTGTTATAAATATGATTTCGCCAAGAATGTGACTCTTTCTGACCTTTATTTATATACTAATTAATTTTGCATCGTGGGGATCACACGATTTCTCGAAAGAATAATAATCGTTTAAAACTTAAGCGTAAGCCTTAGCCACATACTATTCAAACAACCTACTTCAATAATTATTTTTTATTTAAAATTATCAAATTTTGGATAACCATTAAAATTATAAATTCAATGCTTTATTGATATATTAAATTCTTTTCATTTGCTTATATAAATTCAATACTTTATTAATTTATTAGATTACTTTTCATTTGCTTATTGATAAGACTTCTTTTAATATATCCTATCATTTTTGTCCAAATAATGTTCATAGAATTAATAGCATATTTAAAAAAAAAAGGCCTTTGCAATAATTAAATATAGAGATGTAAACAAATTGAATATCAATAAATTTCATTATATTTGTAATTTATTCATTTATTCTTTTAGGATTGTTCATGTTTAGCTTAAGTTCAAATCATTTTAATTTTTTTTTAATAATACATAATAGTACAAATTTTCAAAACTTATTTTCAACTTGTATTGACTTTTCTTTAAAATTAATTTGAATCGAATTCTAGTGGTTCAATTCAATTCATTGATTTTTAAATTTTGGTATTATTTTAATATAATTTGTAATATATTTAAATAAATTTAAATATAAAATAATTATTTTTATTTTATAATAATTTAAAATATATAAATTAATACAAATATATAATTTAATTCAATTTGGATGTTTTTGATATTTTATTTTTTAATCCAAAATCAAATTCAAATCTAATATAAACATTTACTATCTAAATTTAATTGAACTAAATAAGAAAAAAAAATCTAAACCAAGATGAATACTATGATTTCAAATCGAGTTTTAATTTTTTTTTATTTTTTTCACCCTAATTAAATGGGTAATATTATGGTAAAATATGAGTGAGGGAGAATGTGAAGTCGGTAAGGCTTAGGATAATATTATGGTAAATGAGTAACATTATTATTTTGTTATATTAAACAAAAACGAACTTCAAATTTGAGATGATTCAAACTCTAATTCAAAACGACTTAAATTTAAAATTATTCAAATTTATTTATGTGTTGTATTATTCCCTATATTATTTGTTACTATATGATATTTTGTAAAAGTAGATCTGAGTGTGGAATTCAATATTATTCAATTATAACACACTATTCATGTATACAAAAATAATGTTGGTTCAACATGTGAGTTTTGTTACACCTAAGTCAAGTAGTCAATGGACAAAGCAAGGTCAATGCAATTATACCCTTGGGTCGCCCAAACAGCTGCTTCATTTGTCATAAAGGAAGCACCTCGCCACTTGTTGAAGGAAAGACTCGTCAGGGTCCCACAGACATCAAATCAAAGCAATCACTTTAGAACTGATCACCTAGCATCCAACTTACCTAGGATCATGAAATACAACCAACGCCTACTTAGGATCATTAAATGTAACTAGTAACTACCCCCACCTACTTGGAATCATTAAATATGACCAAATCTCAGGCAACCCACTAACTTAAGCATTAAAGCGTGCCATAGAGCAACAACTTTGACGCCCTCTAATTGTTTTCTTTGGTTGCAGGTTATAGTTGTCTTTCTCTCCATCTTACCTCCTCCCTTCTAGCTAAGACATTCCAAAAACACCATCAATAATTGGCACCATATGTGGGAACAATAGCCATGTCTCACCAATAATGTTCTTAAAAAATGTTAACTCCTACCGTTAATGCCTTTACTCAACCTACAGCTGTTATATATGTAGCATTTTCACTACCAACTCCCCTTAAATTCCATTGCCAAACTTACTTTACTAAAACTCACTATTCTTCAATAATCTACTTTCATTAAATGACTAAGCCACACAACTTGTGGGTTTTTATCAAAACTTGATGGGAGTTTTATCTCCAAATGTAATATTAACTCCACCATTGGTCTATACCATTGCTCCGGGACCTTCAAACTATGTTTCCCAACTACTTATAACATAGATTCCTCTTTTACAACCTATTTATGCCAATCAATGGCCAAATATTCCCTCTGTGACTTCCACCATAAAAGTCTCACTCCTAGTGCCGTAAGCTTCTATGTACCAACTTGCCATTAAATATCCTACCCCAGATTTTTACCAAACCTTCATGGCTTAAATACAACATTTAAATGTCTAGGTGGCCATTCAATAAAGGCTGTTTCAACAATACCAGCAAGCCACCCAATAAACTTTTTAAAAATGACCCTACTTTAAAGAAAGTTTAACATTTTTAGTCAGATAACCACCACCACCACCAGGTTTAACCCATGCTGAAGAAACTTACCCTTTAACTTTACACGGTAGCACCCACTATAATGATCGTACCGTATAAAATCCAACACAAACCAAACACATGCAAACCCAAACACTAAAAACAAGCTAACTACACAACTTGCTGCCTTGTATAAAGAGTTAACCGACTTGAAAAAAGAGAAAAATAAAGATCTTCAATCGCTAAAAGACGATCATAACCCTCTTACTTCCATTATTAGACGAGCCAACATACCCTCATCCCTTAAGCTACCAAAATATACCTATAATGGAACTATTAACCTAAAAGATCATTTGGACCACTTCAGGACCTTTGTGGACCTGCACAACACTTTTAATATGGTGAAGTACAAGGTTTTCCCTATCATTTTACATGAAAAAGCTAGAACATTATTCTATTCCATGGTTCTTGCCACAGTAAATAGCTTTGATGCCTTTAATAGGTAATTTTTGGCACATTTCTTGAGTAACAGGGCTGTTGTACGCTTCTCTGTGAGCTTGTTAGCCATGAAGTAGAAACTTGAATAGACTTTACAACAATATTTAAAAAGGTTTAATATAGCCACTCTGGAGATCAAGGA